TGCGTTCAATATGCGTTCAATATGCGTTCAATATGCGTTCCTCTGTGCGCTGAGGGAGCGAGCGCACTGCTCGGTTAAACAGTGTGTGAAGCAGGATGTGCAGCACCAGCCCTGGAGGTCCGATCCTCCCCGAAGGCCGAGCAGCACACCAGCTGAAACGCTCCTCCCCCAGAAACACAGCTTCGGTTCTCCGCGCGCTGCTTCTCTTGGCCCCGCGTGAACCTTTTCTCCAGGAAAGAGACGGACCGCTGTAGGTACCGCAACACGTACAAAGATAGGCTGTGAGTGGGCAAAAACACACGTGTACACACACATGTACACACATGTACACACAAACGCCCACTCGCTAACGCACGGATGCTCGATGTGCACGTGCAACCCAACCGACATGTTGAAAGAGAACCCACTCGTTCACACAAACCCCCTCACTAAAGAGACATCTTCAGCGCTGCAGGGTGCGTAACGCTGACGTCCTGTAAAGTACACACAGGCTGAACAAAGTGTTTGATATCTGACACTCACTCTTTCACTTGTTGAACCGGTTATGTCTCTTTAATATTGCTGTAAAATGCACAGCTTCAGGCTATTAAATGCAGACATGGACAACACAAACACCAACAGTGTCGAAGCAGCCCCGTCTCCTGCTAGTTTTTATTTGTTGACAATATTAGATGGGTGTATTTATAGATGACTTATGTATGCAGGCTTCACATCATCAATTCTCAAATATAACCAGAGTTTTGGATTATTTGTAACATTAAGTTACCGAAACTCAACACTTCCCACAAAATGTTTCAAAATAAAAGCCCACCAGGAACATGAGGAACGAGCTCTGAAAGTAAGTTGACTTCAAATTACAAATTTAGTTCAACCACCACTCAAAGTGATTAACGAATTTCTCAAACAATTGTTTCTTTATGTTTTAGACCTTAACAAGACGTTTTAAGTAGAGCTGAAGGAGTGTTTGTGTTGTCTTGGATTGGTTGTGTTCAGTGAACATGGCTTTGACCTGCTTGGTGAACATTTTGGAAATCAAAATGTTTCCAAGATAAAAACGCTTTTTTTTTAATCATATGGAATAAATTCAGTTTTTAGGTTCACTTACAAACACTACAAATATTCAAATCATGCCAAATGCAGCATGCACGCACACACCCACACACACACACACACACACACACACACACACACACACACACACTATACTTTTTGCAACTATAGCTGTCTTCTGCAGCGAGCCCTTTCCTAATGAGGACGGAGATATCATCCTCAGGTGTCAGGAGCTCCTGGTGAGAGCCTCCAGGCGGCGCAGCCTCTTTCCAGGCAGACACACACTTTAATGTGAATACCATGGCCGGATAAAAAACAAGAACCGGCAGGTCAGCGCTTTTCTTCTCACCCCCCCCCCCCCGAGTCAGAGTAATGACGACAGCCTTTAGGGCTAATGCCGTACGGATTATCTGGAGGTTACTTCCTCTGCCAGATGCATTCTTTAAGAAGCAGCCTCGGAGTTGCCAAAGCGCGCGGCGTGTCCTCTCATGCACGCTGCCGATACATGAGCTGCTTTAACAACGTGCTGTCTGTCTGTCTCTCTCTCCACTTCTGAAGAATGAGTCAATTAGTGTCGCTGCCTTGGAGGAGGCTCGCAGACACACACACACGCACGCACACACACGCACACGCACGCACACTCTGCGGGATGGAGAATCAGGTGGAATTCAGTGTTTCGAAGAAGATTAACTCAGAAATTGTTTCATAGAACTGTTTCACAATTCTTTCTTCCTTTTATATTGTTTTTTTTTCATTTCGTACCGGGCAGTGGTTGCAAAGTAGGGTGTAGTGTGTTTCACATTCATCCAGTGCCCGTTACTCATGGCTGGAAGCAATGCCGGGAAAAAAAAACACCTCCAAAATTTCAATGTGGGCACGGAGCAGCTCCGGTAAAATAGCTGGAAGTACAGTGTGAGTGATCGGCCTGTTCTCCCTCCCTGGAGGACAGGAGCGCTGCTGTAGAGGATTCATGGAGATCCCTTTTATCATTGGAAGGTGACCAGACTCTAAACAGACTCTGGTCCAGTCCCAGTTTGCTGTGAGAATCCTTATGTGAAGACACTTCCATGTTGATTTCATAAACTGTAAATAAGAAGTAGACGTAGTCATCGTCAAATCACCTGTTGATTTGTGGACTGAAGTCTCGAGTTCCGCGATTTCGCCATCACCATCTTGGATTACGGCTGTTGTCAAGTTGTTTTTTTGCAGCCAATGAAGAAGTGA